AAAAAAAAATGAATCGTTATATAATGTTAGCAAGTATAGTCGGTGCTTTGCTGAGCTTGGCTGTATTTTACAAGAATTATCAATAGCTAATGGAGGAGAAAAAAAAGGACCCCGCGCGATATAACAAGTCCGCATAAACAGAGGAATTATTGACATACTCGAGGGACGAGTGTACCTTTTTAAAAAGCGAAAAAAATGTTATCAAGGTGGTAAAGAAAAAATTTCCACGACATTTGCAACATCCGGCAAGCCAATTTGTCTGCTTCTCTCACACAATTTTAATGGACAATTTTTATACGTGTTCGAAGCTGACTCTCTGTATATGCTTGCAGCAGCGACCATTGCGAATTCTCTGCACGTGCGTAAGGATAACAATAATATACTCTCGGTGCCACGGTGCGACCGAATAGATCGATGAGCTATTTTTTTCACCTTTGAAACCAGATGTATTTATAATGAGTGAGCCTTGAACCCCCCTCGTAAACATAGCATACGACTTCGTTGTTAACTAATAATTACTAAGCAGCTCGCGGACAAGCATAATGGCACCGTCCCGATTTTATTAATTACGCGTGGTTTCGCGTCACGCCTAAAAATAAGCGATAACCACCGCTGCATGCACCACCCGATCGTTTATCTCCGATAAAAGTAACAGTTCAATGTGTTCTCGATTTGCTGGCTCTCGACAATCGTTCCCAACGTTATCGACAGTTTCGAGAACGAATTTTTTTTTCCAGCCGTATCTCTTCTCTTTCACGATCAAGATTGTCGAATCAATCAACGTCACTGATGTGTGATTCAGACAATTCGCAGACTAATCGTATCGTTTCGTTCCTTTGTTTCAAAGAAATTATCTCCCGCGAACGGGATTAGAAGGAAACTTCTTTATCAGATATGTCGATGAACTATCGACAGAGATAAATTCAAGACCGATGGGTATTATCTTTGTTTCAGCGAATGAAAAAACTCTGTTGGTCGAATATATATAGATATATGTATACGTACAAAAGAAATAATAGCGGCTAATAGAAGAATCTTAACTAGAAGGTCGTCGAATTGCTCCAGGACGAGTTGCCATATGGTCTTCCCTGAAATTACGAAGCAGAAACGGATGGAATCTTATTGTTCTGTATCGTTGATCGGTAAAATACGTTTTAGGACGATCGTTTCGATAAACAGATTGAACATTTACCGTTCCATTCGTTATTACAAA